CTCAGTGGAGAGCTGCCATGGACGTAGAGATGGCCTCCTAGAGATCCACAGGCACCTACGTCGACGAGGTTCCCCCCCCCCTGGGGCGAACGTAGTCGATGGCATGTAGATCCACAGGGTGAAGCGGCCACCGGGATGCGGAGATAACTACTGCAACGGGAGCTACACTACGGGCTAGGCACGGGTGCTCGTGTGATCTCTGCATTCGTTGGTCCTTAGTCGTTTTCCTAGTGCACACACAGCTTGCTAGTTCACAGGGAGAATTGGCAAGAGTTTCATTATAGAAAGTTGACAATAATGATACAATGAAGTTGGCATAGCAAGACTACATCAGAGCAAGCATTCAGGTCGGTCGACTGCCAGCGCAGCATGGTCGACCGCGTTCCAGCACGACTTGGTCGACCGCGCTCCAGCAGTGCAAAGTCGACGGCGTGTCAACGTTGCAGATTGACGGCGTGCCAGCGTTGCTCCCGCAGAACAACATCGCACCAGCTTCGCAGGTGCTCACAGAAGATTGGTGTGCTGAGCCTCGTCACCTGCACAATGCACAAACCACGTCATCCTCGTGCTGACGACTCCACCTGATCCGCCATGTCGACCTCGGGATACCACCATCGAGGTCGGGCTCGCCAACTTCGCCTGGGCAACCGTCGCACTCCTCCGCAGAACCTCGTCAACCAAGTAACCTGGTCGACCGGGCAACCACGTCGACCAGCTACTCCTATATGTGGCCGTTGACCTCCCAAGTCGTCGACCACCCCAAGTCAACCTCACCCCCCTTGGTCGACCAGCTCCAGGTCGACATCACTCTTGGTCGACCAGATCCACGTCGACCAGCACTCCTGGTCGACCAGTGCAGTTGTCAGCCGACCTCCCAAGTCGGCTACCCGAAGTCGGCGTCACCAAGTTGATGCCTTGCCACTCGACGCCCAACTGCTTGGCGTCCTGAGTCGAGGTCGACGTCGGCCCCTCCTTCGTCGACCACGAGGCCAGGTCGACCACCGCAAGTCGACCAGCAGGTCTGGTCGACCAACCACTAGGCCGACCAGCAGTCCTGTCAGCCGACCACCCAAGTCGGCTGCCCCAAGTTGACGTCATCAAGTTGACGTCCTCCGCAGGTCGACTTCCAAGGTCGACCTCCCTGAAGGCGGCGCCACCCTGAAGTCGGCGCACATGCAGTGGTCCCCGTGCAGGTCGACCTCCTCGTCATCCAGCTCGTCCACTGCTGCAGGTCAGCTGCTCCCCTCATAACCAGCCACGAATTCGGCTCCGCCTAAGCGAGGACGGGGCCAACACACAACTCCCGTTGACACTCCCCTGCCGCGTTCACGCTTGGGCCCCCAGCCCACACGATAGTACCGCTCGAAGAATAGCTCGTCGACGTGCACCCAACACACAGCACGTCATCCACCGCACCAACCATGCAAGAGGGCATGGCACCTACTGCTGCACTTCGTCAACTTCGTCGCCCACGTCGGCCAAGCGCACTTGGCCGATGGCGACGGAGCACCGGTTGAAGGCCGGATAGTGCAGCGCCTTCGTCAGAAAGTCGGCCGGCTGCTCGGTGGTCGGGATGTACCTCAGCGAGAACTTCCCGTGTTTCACCATGTGCTGCAGCCAGGCCTGTCGCCGCTCCATGTGCTTGAGGTTGCCCGTCAACCCCATGCCCTCGGCGACTGTGATGGCCGACTTGTTGTCCACCCGAAGGACGGCCGGCTTCCCGGCATCCAGCTGCCGGAACTCTGCGAGGAGGAAGCAAAGTCGACGTCCCTCCTTGCCGGCTTCGGTGGCCGCCACATACTCCGACTCGGTCGACGACAACGTCGCGCACTTGATGCGCTGGCTCGACCATGAGACTGCAGCCCCTCCGTAGACGAACACGTAGCCGCCCGTGCTTGTTCGGCTTGTCACCGGAGTCGTCGACATCCACGTAGCCGACCAGCTCCAGCGACTCAGATCCACCGCCAAACTCCAGGGCGGTGTCACGTGTGTTGGCGAGGTAGGCAAGGCAGCGGTCGACCTCGTGCCAGTGCTGGTTGCTCCTCATTGTGAGGCCGCTCCCCAGCTTGCTGCAGGCGAAGGCGATGTCCGGCCTCGTCGTCGTCGCCGCGAACTGCAGCGAGCCGACCTTCTGCCGGTACTCCTCCTCCTGTCGCTCCTGTGCCTCCTCGTCGTCGAAGGTGAGCTCGGCGTAGCCGTCGACCGAGACCGGCGTCTTCGGAGTGCGCCCGGTCTGCTCCTCGTCGATGAAGCGCCTACGCAGCTTGTCGGCGTAGCCCTGCTGATGCAGCCATAGCTTCCCCGCCGACCTGTCGCGGACGATCTCCAGCCCGAGGTACTTCTGCACCGGCGAGATCTCACGCAGCTCGAAGGCGGACTCCAGCAGCTCCTTCAGCTCCTTCAACATCTCGGTGCTGCTGCTGGCGGCGAGCAGTTCGTCGACGTAGACCAGCACCCAGCAGGCCACTCCGTCGTTACCGACCTTGAAGTACAGAGCCTCGTCGACCTGGCTCTTCTTCCACCCGGCGCCGACCAGCACATCGTTGAGCGCCAAGTACCACAACAGCGGAGACTGCTTCAGGCCGTACAGGCTCTTCAGCAGCTTGCACACTTGGTCGGTTCCGACGTTGAAGTAGTCCGGCTGGGACATGTAGAGCACCCGGTCGAGCTTGCTCTGCAGGAAGGCGTTCTTCATGTCGAGCTGCATCAGGTTGAGGTTGAGGACGGCGACGATGCCGAGGAAGATCCTCAACGTGACGTAGCTGCCCACCAGCGCAAACGTCTCGTCGTAGTCGGCGCCGTATACCTGTGTGAAGCCCTTCACGACCAGCCTCGCCTTCTCGCGCTCGACGGTGTCGTCGACGTGGTACTTCGTCGTCAACACCCACCGGTTCTTCATGACGTTCACCCCCGGCGGACGTTCGACCAGCTCCCATGTGCCCATGTTGATGAGGCTGCGGATCTCCTCCTCCATGGCGGCCTTCACCGCCGGGCCCTTCCAGCTCGCCAACGCCTCCTTCACCGTCATCGTCGAGATGTCCCAACGGTGTTCGGGGTCGTCTAGCATGTCAGGGTCGAGCTCCGGAAACTCCTCATCCTCCTCAGCATCGTCGTACAGTAGGTCGTCGTCATCGTCCACGTCGCAGACCGTGGTGAAGGCAGCGGGGACGAAGAAGTCTGGCGGCCTCCGAAGTCTATCCGACCTCCGGGGTTCAGGCCGAACCTCCACCACGTCACTCTTGGTGGACTCCCCGGCGTCCCCTCCTTCGTCTCCGTTTTCACTACCCTCGTCGTCCTGCTGCACCGTGGTCGACTTCCTGGTCGAACTCTCCCCTGTGGTCGGCTTCCCTGCCGACTGCCTGGTTGCCGACTGCTCCGTGGTCGGCTTCGCTGCTGCCTGCTCCCCTGTCGGCTGCTGCACCTCGACCTGCTCCTCCCCTGTCGACGTCGGCTTCAATCCCACGTCGACTTGTCGCTCGTCACGTCGGCCACCGGCGATGCCCTTGGCCGGCGCCAACGTCCCACGACTCCCCTCATCGCCGGAGGCCGACATAGGAGTCAGCCCGTGCAGGTCGGCCACGAGGGGAGGGGCAGGGGTCGTAGGGGAAGGGGAGGGAGGACAGACGACCTCGGCGTCCTCACAAGCAAGCTCACCGACCTCGACGAGCAGAGGCGGCGTTGCCGTCGAGGTATCGATCGGTGGGGTGGTCGGCGTCCGTCCTGAAACCGGCCCGTGTTCCGACTTCCACACCTCAAGCGACATATCCTCGTAGAACACCACGTCCGACGTGGTGACCACCCGGTTGGCGTCGATGTCGAGGAGCTCCCAGCCCTTGCTCTCCCCCGACACGCCAAGGTGAAGGCCCCACTTGGCCTTCGGCTTCAGCTTCCCACCACGCTGCTGCTCGGGGACAAGGAACTGCGCCATGCAGCCCCACACCCGCGCCATCGACAAGTTGGGCTTCTGCCCTGTCAGTAGCTGGTACTGCGTCGTCCCCGGCGGCAGCGTCGACCGCTCAAGGCAGTTGCGGACCCAGACGGCCTGCCGCAGAGCGAGGTGCCACCACTGAGACTCACAGGTCTACTTACGGGTACTGCTTCAGTCTGGGTTCTGGAGCTGTGTCGTGGAGGTCCACGCGTTCCTCCTCGGTATCGACCTCTACAGCTGAGGCTGAGATCTACGCTGGTGCCATGGAGGCACAGGAGCTGTGTTGGCTGACCTTCTTGATCGCTAACCTTTGTGAGCGGCCGAGCTCTACACCGACCTTGTTCACTGACAACAAGGCGTCGATTATCCTCTGCAGTGAGCTGCGACTGGAGAGCAGAGTGAAGCACATTAACGTCAGGTACTTTCTTCTGCGAGAGTTGCCAAGACGTGGACAAGCTCGCTTCGAGTTTGTGGAGTCCGAGGCCAACACTGCATACATCTTCACCAAGGCGCTTCCGCCTTGTGACCGCCAGAGGTGTTTTGTGCAGTTAGGTCTTGTTGACACTGGCTTTCGTCTGGCGTAGACTTGAGTTCACTGTTTGCTTTGCTTGTATGCTTGCCATTTACCTCTGTGAACTCTTGGATTGGCCTTGTGGCCCATGTTACTTGTGCTCAAAGTGTGTGGTGACGTTGTGATCCACCCTGGTCTTGTAACCGTACACTTTGGGTTTTGCTTGACACCCCTCATTTAGGCTATGGGGGTGTGTCAAATGTGGTAGCCTGTAGTGAGGCTTGTCTTAGGGGGTACAAATGTTAGGGGTTGCTATATGTACCCCAACCCACATCAATGAATCAACACCTTCATTCTTGACAACAGAAAGCATGTGCCCATGGACAAGCTAAAGCAATCGTTACTAGTTCAATTTTCTTGTTCCATCTATCTGATCTCCAAAAATTATACCAGTATCCCTTCCAAAACATCTACTGGCCCATATATGTTTTCATATGGCACAAACCATTGGTACCAGAAGCGCTAGGTAAACCAGTAAGGTGCATATGAAAACAGACTTGACTACGTGGAAGAGCCACTTGGCATGCCCTCGCGCTCCGCACGGGCCATTTCAGCAGTGAAGCTGGAGGGGCCAATGGAACTCCCAATTTCCATGTCGATGCGAGATATGGCATCACCTGTATGGCTCTCATGAGCTCCACATGCCTCCTGCTTCAGCTTCACCAGCTCTCCCAGCACTTGATTCATGGAGGGGCGGGAGGCTGCAGGCATGGTGGTGCAGGAGAGGGCAAGGCGAGCCCAGCGCAGCACCAAGTCATCGAGTGCGTCCAAATGAGGGTCCTTAAAGGCCGATACAGCACCGGAGTCCACCAATGGGGCCACCTGCGAGGTTGAATACATATACCAGATGGAATTTGATCACAGAAAATGTTCTTAGGGTTTTACATTATGAGAGAAGCTGTGAAGAATTATGGATGGCAACGCAAAGAAGGATTGATCGCTGAATGATTTCAGGAAGGTGAATGCCTTGAGTGTTGATATATAAGGTGAGGCTGAAATTCAAGTGTTCGTCTTAGTTAAACTTGGTCTTTCTTATTCCAACACGTGTCCTGTTGAGAAAGTAGGTGAAGAGAACATGATCTGGCCTACATATTTTTGGCAAGGGAAACAGAAAAAAAATGAAGAAATGGACTTAGCAAGCAAACTCACTTCCTATTGCAAATGAATTTCTCATATTGCTACAAGATCTGCTAGCCTTGGTGTGATACCTGTTCACTGTGTCTCACCCATTGTTTGAGATTGATCTGATTGTCCTCTGTTACATGCACAGCCTTGCATGCCGTGATAACCACCAGCATCACCACGCCAAAACTGCAACCCAGCAATAAACAAAGGCATCATACTTGAATTTATGCTGAGGTACAAACGTATAATAGTCAGGCTGTTAAGGTCAGTGTTTTCCCGTATAATTCCAGAAGCGATCGTAACCAAAGCCCCTATCTCAGGTAACCTAGCATCACCAAACTACTCGAGTGATAATCAATTCCTGTAAATGGCTTTAATGTTAGGCATGGACCTTCTTTGACTGTGAAGCAGAGGAAACGTAGAAAAGCCTTGCAAGCCCTAAACTGAAACCCCCGCCCTCTCCCCCCTGTGAAGAAATGAAAACTCATTTCTCATCAACTTTGGAAGCCCGCCTGAATGGTACTCTCATGCCAATGTACTCATCTGCTGATATTCATGGCTTTCTCATGCCAAAATGCTAATCTGCATGGATTCGCTAGCCTGACCTACTCTGCTCAACTGCATCAATCTGCTCACTTGCGCCAATCTACTCACCTGTGCACATCTGCTACTGGAGAGGCCTTGTGAGACTTGAAATAGGCAGGGTCCACATAGCCCGGTGTTCCCATCACTCGAGTGGCAGCCACAGACGTTCCCATAGCGGTGCCTCCACCAAGCTTCACGAGCCCGAAGTCTGCAATCTTGGCCTGCCCATGGACAACAACAGTACTAATGTGTAAGATGAGAAGCATGTTGATGACTCAATGCTGGGCTGTTCAAAACATCGATTGATAGTTGAGAAAGGATGGACACGATTATGCAATTTGTACCATAACTAACCATGCTTATAAGTTGTTTGACATGCCTGCATTTTCGCATCAAGGAGAATGTTGGCGGGCTTGATGTCACGATGCACAATGCCAAAGTCATGAAGATACTGCAACCCCTTTGCCACTCCAATCAGAACGTCCAGCCTTTGACGGAGGGAAAGAGAGTGGGAGACACCAGGACCGATCCAGCTCTCGAGGTCGCTGTTGGGCATGAACTCGTAAATGAGAATCTGTTCCATGAGTCGAGTGGACGGGTCGAAGTCGATACAATAGCCCAACAGACGCACGAGATGCGGATGATGCTTGCTTGCCATCTCTTTCACCTGAGAGGGGAAAAGGTAACAGCTCAAGGAGATTGAACAATTGGAGCACCAGTCATGCTTGAAGCTGGCAGAAGAAACCAACAAGTAACAAGGCACTAACATATCAAGATAGACTCAAACCAAAATCCACATATCAAAACCTCACAGCGTTATACCTCTCTTTGAAAATCGTTGGTGAGCACTCGAGCTCGTTTGACTGCCCAGACTTTATTGTAATCATCAGAAGACACACCCCTATAGACATCCCCAAAGTTGCCACTTCCTATCCTGTTCCCCTCTGCCCATTCTCCTGTGGCCTTGGCCAGCTCTGCCAGAGAGTACTCTCGACACACATATGGCCGTGCTGCCTCTATATCCACCACAACACCATCTCCCTGCCTTGCTTGTGCTGCTGCTAGTGGTAGTGCAGCTGCAGCAGCTGCTGCAGCTGCTCCGGCCTCCCCTTCTGATGTTGCTGGATCCTCGTCCGCATCACTTGGTCCTGCAAAGATATGAGAAAATTGGTGGAAGAGAAAGAGAAGACCAATTAGCTAAGGGGCCTGGGATCTTCAACCGCCTTTGCAGAATTGCAAATGACCCAGGAAGGACCAGCAAGCACCATGGCTTCATTCGACGAATACCGACAAGCCGAGGTTAAGGCTGGATAAATTTCTATGGGAACATTAATTCAGTCACAACCGTGGCGATCATTCTCACCAACATTTCACACTGCCATCACGACAGTGCCACCATACCTGTGGCTGTGTGATGTGATGGCAATGAGCCCTGACCCATAAATGTAGCCCGAATTCTCATCTTTCCCCACCAAACCTACCCAGATCGACCCAGACCTGATATTCCAAACCAGTTCTAGGCAATTCACTAACAGGTTTGACTAGAACCAATTTGCTTTGACCTCAAGCCAGTTCGCATTTGAGTATTAAAAAAGAAAAACAAAAGCATACGTTTTTTCCATTTCCTCATGCCTATTTTGCATAGAACGGCAAGCAAAAGACAGGCACTTGGGTGCCGCACCCCAAACTTAAGGTTTGGCCCGGCAATGCTGAGACTTCAATTCAAAACTCATGAGTTGGGCCCAACCAAAAGGACGGCCTGGCATCTGGGAGGACCTCGGCAGTTCCATGTTAAGAAAGGGCTTTGTTGTTCTTACACTTGGATTTGTTTGTGATCTTTTGGTTTTGATGATACTCAGAATGTATTTCAAGTAGCTGGCGTTTGCCTTGTGATTGCTTCATCTAGGCTAAGCATACACAGAATTATCTTACCTTGAAACATAGTATTATTCCCTGATTTCTTGCCATCCACGTTAGTGCTGGTATTGCCTTCTCCTGCTGCCCCTTTGTTGCGGAATCGCTTGCATAGCAGCCAGGTCAGCAACAGCAGCACAAGGACAGCCACACTGCTAGCAGCAGCAATGGCAGCAATGGTTCCATTGGATAAACCGCCTCCGTACTGGGAGGGAGGGGCTGAAGGCTCACTGGGAGTTGAAGTGGGAGGAGGTGGAGAGGAGTTTTGCACTGGCGATGGGGAGGTTACAAGCATGGGGTAAAAAGACAGAGATAGGGAAGGGAAAAGGCAATCCAACATGGGGATGAAGTTGGACTTGGTGAAGCTGGATGTGGCATCGGGCACATTTTGCACGAAAAAAAGAAGAAACTCAAGGCATTGAATGGTTGAGACAGGTATGCTTCAGTTAAAGCCATAAGGAGGCACGCAACAGAAGCACATACATGTGCTTGTTACTATGCCTGACACTGGAAAAGCTACCTAAGTAGGTGGCCATGCACTGTTCATGCACTCAGCACTAATGGGAGCAAAGTAACAATGGGCAGTACAAATAGCAACCACCTACATAAGGAGTGTCTCACCTGGTGGTGGCTTGACACATGTGGTGCAGAAGGAGACACACTGCTTGCAGAAAGCACTTAAAGGGTTCTGTAGGACCACGCAGCTGCTGTATTCGGGAGGGCATGTGATTGCCGTCCAAGAACTCTCCCTGCATGTCCACATGGAGCGTTCTCAAGTCATCGCTCACCAACGGGCTTCGGCTCTGAGCGAAACTTTCTGAGGTTGCTAAAGCATGGTAACACATTGCATACTACACCAAGATAACATTTCTGACAGGTTGAAATTACCATTAAACCATACATGGGTCATTTGTGCTAACTATCGAAAACAAAGTAACGTGCACAAGCCCGGTTCAATAGCTGAAAAGGATTGGGCCGGGACAGTCCACGTTCGACCCTTGGTACCTTGAACACCGGAGGCTGCAATAAAATCTCGCATTTGGCACACTACGTGAACATCTTCTCTTTGCGAAAACCTTCAAGGTTGCTATGATAGAATTTTCAAAACTTACAGGTACGTAAGGCGAGTGAGATTGCCCACTGTTGGAGGGATCTGGCCAGTGAGATTGTTCGAACTGACATCACTGCAATGAAAATGAAAGATAATAGAGGTATAGTCTCAGTCAAAGCACTGCTAACATGATTCCTGATGGCAAAACAGGCTGCTTCAAATCTGTGGATTGTGACGAACCGCATCACTGCAGGACAAAGGACACATGACACACATGACCATGCCAAGCACATTTGATCATGCAATTAGTCAAATTGGGAGCTCTATTTTGAGTTCAATGACAAGTATAGGTCCGAGCCATTCAATGACAAGTATAGGTCCCATCACAGGCCGCCCCCCAGGCTGGCCCCTGGGTGAGCGGCCTTGCTCAGAACAGTGCCAGCCTGTGCTCATGCCTACCATGTACGTCCATTCTCAAAACAAATTTATGTAGTGTCATCATCGTAGATCCTCTTACATCTGTCATGTAGGCTCTTTTTTTTTTTTTTTCTGTTCCCTTGATGATACTAACAATCTAAATAGGTTACTCAGGCTGCCGAAGGTGGATGGAATGGAGCCACTCAAATCGTTATTGTTAAGATACCTGATGTCATGGTGCAACATGCGAAGGGTGTAATAGGTGGAAAGAAACATTGAATACAACAAGAAAACTTCACCGTTGTCCAAGGCCACAGAAGCAGGGCTGCATATGTGGATAGTAACGGATATGGTCAAACCATTGAGACCTTGAAGGGTGCCATAAAACTGGAACATGAAATGAAGGAAACAAATGGAGGGACGAGTGGTATCATAGAGGAAGAACGATTGTAGGAACGCGACATGCTGAAATCTGCCTCATTCTGAGCACAACACAAACAAGCTGCTAAAGTTCACCATTGACTCTGTCACACAATGCTAAAAGAAACAGCCATTACAGAAATTTTATGCAAATGAAAACAACATGCACTATTCTGAGCGTTATACAAGCTTGCCAACATGTACGCATATAGAAGCAACAGAAAAGATACGAGGTGTACTATGCTAGTGGTGGTTGGGATGCATAGCAGGATAAGAAAATAAGCTGAAACAACTGTAAATGCACAGTGTTTGGCATAGTGTAGTCAAGAACATAAAGTTTTCACTCTCTACACTTGAACAAAATGATCTTTGGGAAGGAAAATTGTACGTCAACAGCTTTGGTTGCAATTTCTAATAAGAATGAGAGCTCAGGGCTAGCGCAGGATCAATGATGGTTGGATTGTAGACTTGATCTGGTTATGATGGAACTTATAGCAACTACATGTCGTGGCCCTGGGTCCGTGACCTTTGTTACTGGCTTACTTTACTTGGTCTCGTGGACGGACCTCTAGCAACGCGAGAATATCACCCAGGCCAAACCTTCCATGAAGTGGGAATGATGCAGAAGCATAAGGTCAAGCAAGGGCCAGCTCGAGTGCATTAGGGCAGAACAAGCACTTCGGGCATCGGTCCACTTTTGGCTTGCTGCAATGTCACGGGCTCAAGACGGGCGTGCTCGAAGACATGCTCACACGGAGTTGACAGGCAAGGTGCTCATTGTGGCGGACTTGGTTGGGAGATCCCTAATTCTTCCCGAATAGTGGACAACCCTTGTCTCTTACACTCTTACATACATTAAGGCAACCCGGTTCATGGCTGGTTTACTGCATTAAGGTCCTGCCATGCCATGACCTAACCAAATAAATAACCAGCTCGACACAATAGTTGAAGGAATGACCTTGATACTGACAGGAATTCAAGGCTGCTTATGTTGTCGATGGAGGACGGGATATGCCCAGTCAATATGTTACGTGATAGATTCCTGATGATAGATACACGCAACGGGTTACTCCCAGGAAAGAGAGGAGTAGAGTAAGTGATTCCGGGGGAAAGGTGGAGGAGTTCGAAAAATCCATGAGAGTTGTACAGATAATCATGATAGCTCACATATCTTCTCTAGTAGGCGTTTATGCAAGCGGAAAATGCTACACCCACATTTGAATGTGACGCGAGGTAAACAACTCCCCAATGCGTTTTGAGCACAGTTGTCTTGGGCACATTTGTATTTGTTTACCTCGTGTCACTTTCAAATAGGGGTTCAAATGGGGATTCAGAGGCAAGATTTCATAGCTCTAAAGGAATGTGTGCGCTCAAAAGTGATAGGGGCTGGTTGGATAAGTGTTTGTGCCCACAATTTACTGGTGCAGGTCTTGCTCCGCTGACAATTGAGTCGGCATTTGAACAGATTGAGCCGGCAGCTCTGGAAGGAGGAAACTATTTGACAGGGAAGACGAGCCACAAGCTCACGATGAACTTAGGGTTAAATTAATTTTGAGGGGCCGTAGCTAAATGTTTTTATCCATGGAACTAATAGACGCTATACTTGGTGGGACTGCGTTTTGCTCTTCACAGCCAGCTTGATTTCAGAGGTTCTCACTTTCATCATCCTCGCATATAAGGAAGATCAAGATCCACCCTCGCTCATGTACACTGTTGCCTGATTGTTCCGAGGCTAATGTGGAAATATTGGTACGCCAATGTGAGTGGCAGGCTGGACAGCTGACATAACGACGCTGTTGGGAGAGATCTCCTGCTCCGCCAATGTTGGTCACCGCCGTGCACCGTCTCCATCCCTAGCCCTGGAGTCAAAAGTGCACAGTGGTTCAGCCATATGGGCCAAAGTGTACCTGGATAGGGGACATTGAAATCCTCCCAGTGTCACCGGCAGTCCTCCCCTGCTCGGCTGACATCACAGCGCCGTGAAAAGGTGGGTTTGGCTGCATGTAGAACGTAGGTCTGCCAATCAGGCCGACCCTACACCTGCCTGCCATTGCTGCAGCTGCAAACTCTGTGGTAGTGGCTGCCACTGCAGCAAAGCCAGCCTTGGGGGCTATTTTCCTGGTGATGGGGACATTGTGCATAGGGGGGGTGGCGCTAGAATCTCCCCAACACTTCAGTTCCAGAGAATTTCACGTTCAATCTCCTACCCACGTTCTGAAGATCGTCCATACACCTTGTCATTTGAACATTGCAGGGCCTTGTCGTGAGGCTAATGTGCGGAGGTTGGCAGTAGACCTCCGGTACCCAGGAGGTTACCGCTCGGATTTGTGACCTGGACCGGTGACACATCACGTGGGCGGGAAAGATTTCCCTCGTATCTGCTGTGCCAATGTTGATCACCACCATGCACGGTCTCCCTCCCCAACCAGGGCTAAAGTGCACAGTGCTTCAGCCATGTGGGCAAAAGTGTACCTGGTTAGCAAAGCCTGAAATCCTCCTTTTCTCAGCGTATGTCATCCCCTGTTCCGCTTGTTGATGGGAATTGGGTGATAGCCCCGCCCTCACTTGGGCGAAGCCGACATTGTGGTTGGGTGCGCGGGAGGCGTGGCTGCCGGTCTGCAGAGGCCGACGCGTATAGGTCGATGGGGTTGGTCGACCTGTAGAGGACCGCTGCGACAGCGCTGTCAATGGGAGCTGGCGGCCGACTTAGACGCGGTAGGACGATGAAGGTGGTCAATGACCTGCGTGGGACTGTCACGAAGCTGTCGACGGTGGGAGTTCGATGGCTGCAGCTGACCGAATTGGTCGACGGACGGACCGTCGACTAGGGTGGTTTTCGACGGGCGCACTCTGGTTGGTCGACCAGGGCTCGCGCTGGGTGGTCGACCCGGTCGACCAGGTTACCTCCTCGACGAGGTTCTGCGGGGATGCACGACCGTCGTCAAGGCTACAATGGCGAAGGCGACCTCAGGCTGGTATCCCGAGGTCGACGTGGAGCTTCTAGCGCAACTGTCGGCGCGTGGCCGACCTGGCACCTGCGCGACGGTAGAGAACGTGCTCGACCGTCGCTGCGCACCTGCGCTACTATCACCCGTGGGTGCAATGCTGGTAGATCGTCCCGCTGCAGCGTTGGCACGCCGCCATGGTGCAACATTGGCAAGCCACGGACTTGCTCTGTTGGCAGGCCGCCTCGTTGCAACGCTGGCGTGGTGCCTCTACGCAACGCTGGCAGACTGTCAACCTTGCAGGTTGTCTGCTAGGTTGCTAGGCTCTGATGTAGTCAGTCTTTCTATTGCTTGTTGATCATTCTATAATCCCAACTTTGCTAGTGGAACTCTTACCAATTCGCCTCATGAATGTGTGCTAAGAGAGAACACAAGCAAGCGCTAAGAAACGCTATGATTGCTTCTAGAAATGCATTTGCCAAATTGGGAGCTCTATTTTGAGTTCAATGACAAATATAGGTCCGAGCCAATCAATGACAAGTATAGGTCCGAGCCGTTCAATGACAAGTATAGGTCAGAGCCATTCAAAGACAAGTATAGGCCCGAGCCATTCAATGACAAGTATAGGTCCGAGCCACCCATCACAGGCTGCCCCCAAGGCTGGCCCCTGAATGAGCGGCCTTGCTCAGAACAGTGCCAGCCCATGTTCATGCCTACCATGTATGTTTATTTTTCAAAACAGATTGGCTTAGTGTCATCATCGTAGATCCTCTTATATCTGTCATGTAGGCTCTTTTTTCTGTTCCCTTGATGATACTCACAGTCTAAATAGGTTACTCAGGCTGCTGAAGGTGGATGGAATGGAGCCACTCAAGTTGTTATCGTTAAGATACCTGATGTCATGGTGCAACATGCGACGGGTGTAATAGGTGGAAAGAAACATTGAATACGACAAGAAAACTTCACCATGGTTCAAAACCAAAGAAGCAGGGCTGCATATGTGTGAATTGAAGGAAACAAATGGAGGGACGAGTGGTATCATAGAGGGAGAACGATTGTAGGAACGCGATATGCTGAAATCTGCCTCATTCGGAGCACAGCACAAACAAGCTGCTATCACCATTGACTCTGTCACACAATGCTGAAAGAAATAGCCGGTACAAGAATTGAAGCGAATGAAAACAACAGGCATTATTCTGAGCGTTACACAAGCTTGCCAACATGTACGCATACAGAAGCAACAGCTAAAGATACGAGGTGTACTATGCTAGTGGTGGTTGGGATGCATAGCAGGATAAGACATAAGCTGAAACAGCTGTGCATGCACAGTGTTTGGCATAGTGAAGTCAAGAGTATAAAGTTTTCACTGTCTACACTTGAACAGAATGATCTTTGGGAAGGGAAATCGTACGTCAGCAGCTTTGGCAACAAGTTGCAAAAGTTAATAAGAATGAGAGCCCAGGGCTAGCGCAGGATTAATGATGGTTGGATTGTAGAATTTATCTGGTTATGATGGAACTTATAGCAACTATATCTCGTGGCCCTGGATCCTTGACCTTTGTTACTGGCTTACTTAAAAATATCTTCATCTTCATTCTCCTGTTAAGAAGCACCCATGTACGTTGTTGCTTGAGCTTATCATTTCAGGACCTTGTCATGTGCGTAATACCTTGTCCCTTGCCCCTTGCCCATGTATCTTCTCGCTTGAACATTGCAGGACCTTGTTGTGAGGGTAATATCCTGTCTCTTGAACTTTGCTGGACCTTGTTGTTGGATTCAGAATCTCCATTGACATTTCCTCTTAAGACTTATCCGCCATCACTGCTGTTGGCAGTGAGTGCAGACGAGCAGACCGAAACTGCAGCAGACCGCATTCTTGTGGAGCAAACGAGGCCGCCTCCCCCGGGCTGGCCCCTGGGTCAGCGGCCTGTCTCTGCCCATTGCCAGCCCATGCTCATGCCTAGCATGTATGCTCATTTAAAAAAAACGTTGGCTCAGTGTCATCATCGTAGATCCTCTTATTTCTGCAATGTAGGCTCTCTTTTCTATTCCCTTGATGATCCTCACAACTCAGTTAGGTTGCTCAGGCTGCTGAAGGTGGACGGAATGGAGCCACTCAAATTGTTATCGTCAAGATCCCTGGTGTCATGGTGCAACATGCGAAGGGTGTAATAGGAGGAAAGAAACATTGAATACAGCAAGAGAATTTCACCATCGTTCAAGGACACATAAGCAGGGCAGAGAATTTCACCATATGTGGATGTGGTCAAACCGTTGATACCAAGCACATGCGAAGGGTGCCATAAAACTGGAACAAATAAATGAAATGAAGGAACCAAATGGAGGGAGGAGTGGTATCACAGAGGGAGAAAGGTTAAAGAAACCGCGACATGCTGAAATTTTCCTGATTATGAGCACAACACAAACAGGTTGCTAAAGTTCACCATTGACTCTGTCACACAATGGTGAAATAAACAGCCATTAGAAGAATTCTAAGCAAATGAAAAAAACTGGCACTATTCTGAGCGTTATACAAGCCTGCCAGCATGTACATATACAAAGCAACAGATAAAGATACGAGGTGTACAATTATAATGGTTGTGGGAATGTTTAGCAGGATAGGACAATAAGCTGACCCCACACCTGGCAGCTGCTACATCTACGTGAGTGGCTGCCAATGCAGCAGAGGGGGAATGGCGTTGGATCTCGAGCACCTTCAACCTCCAATGGATCTCGAGTTACATTTGTGTTGGTGCAAGTACCCCTTCCTCACGCTCAGCTTCTTGTGGGCTTAACCAGCCACGGAAATGGGCTTCCATTGTTTCTGCCGCAGATAAGCACACCTGTCGGCCCACTGCTACTTCTTTCCTTGGTCTCAGATGCACCCGTTGATCCTGGGGTGCACATTCCGCAGTCCACATTTCCTCTTAGGACTTACCCGCCATCACTGCCGTTGGCAATGATGGCAGACAAGCAGACCGAAGCTATAGCGGACCGCATACTTGTGAAGCAGACGATGTCAGGCATTTTCCTCTTGAGCTCCCACACGCTTGTGGAGCACCCACAGATTGGTCGGGTGAGGCAGCTTGCTGCTGAGGTTTCTATACGGTGCTCCTGCTGCTGTTGCATCCTACTGATGGTTGTTCAAAAGTAGATGGTGAGGCTCCTCGCAGGGGTTAAGGTACGCTACTGGTGATGGTGTCTACCTTTTATGCGTACTGATGCCCAGATAGGTACCCATGGCCGTCTAGGATGTTGCCCTGGTATATGGCTTCCATGTGCTACACACCACCTTGCGTGCGTGTTCTCTTCTCCTCACACGTACCTTAAGGCTGTGCTCATGTACACGGGATAACTTTAGGGGACTCCCGAAGCGAGAAAGCGGAGATCATTTTAGAGCACATTGACGGATCAAAGATGCAAAAGCGTGCTTGGAATTCAATGCCTTTCAGTATGCATGACCAAGGGTCAAACAGTGCCTTATTTATCAAACGGGGAGCTCAATCTTGAGCTTTATGACAAGTGCAGGTCCGAGCCGACATTTGAGTCAAGCTGAGCTAGCAATCATGCACTGTTGGCTGGCACCGAGTTATCCAGCTTGCCCGACGAGCCAAGACTCAGCTTGTCGAATCGTTAAACTTCTTCTTTCACCACCCGGCCTGAATTGACCTGGTCGAACCTGGAAAAAAATAAGCCTGATGTGTTGGGCTCATTCCCATGTAATGACAAAACCTGCTGAAGTCTGACAAGGAAACATGACTCCTGAGTCTGTGGGACACACCCTTGGATTGACACAGTTGGAGTTCATTCTTTTATGTCCAGATTACGTTAATTACAGATCCAAGATGACAATCGATTCAAGACAACTCGGCGATCCGAGTATCAACTGGCTATAATCAAGTGGATCTTGACGAGCCAAGAACCAGCCGGCTTATTGGCTCATTGAACTTGTGCTGGCAACCCTAACTAAAAAAATCCCAATCTACAAAGTGGTGCCCGTGACTCTCTTTTATAATCTGAAAGTAGATTATAGATCGTTACTACGTAGATGAGAGGCTCGAAATGCCGAACCTGTGCTCATTTGGTGGTGACATGCCACAAAATACCATAACCATGAATCTAGCTGGTCTGGTAGTGAAATTAAAGATTCACTCGAATTCAGCAGCAAAATACCACAATCACGCGGAGTCTGGCAGACGGTGATAAGGCGTACTCGCTTGTCTTGGCTTGACAGGCTTGCCTCTGATGAATGAGGGGAGCTGCTCGATCAGCTGCCCGGTCAGATGCCTAACAGGCTCAACAGACCACCAGCTCATGACAACCTGAAACAAACCGGCTTGTCTTGGACCTAATCACATGCCTATACCCGAGCCTTCCATGCTTCTTTGGGGACATCTCTGATGGTGGCAAATCCTGATTGGGACAAATTTGGATGACCGAGCTTGGCACAACTCAAATGGACGGATCTCTAGCAATGCGAGAACATTACCCAGCCCAAACCCTCCATGAAGTTGGAATGATGCAGAAGCATCAGGGCAGGCAAGGGCCAGCCAGGTGGATTATTTGTATCGAGAAGCACTTCGGGCATCGGTTCACTTCTGACTTAATGCAATGTCGCGGTTCAAGGCGGGCGTGCTCAAGACGGGCGTGCTCAATGGTTGAAGAATGAATCAGGGCCATTCAAGCCAAATGTGAAAATTCCTTGATACTGACAGTGATTTAAGGCTGCTCATGTTGCCGATGGTGGACGGGATAGACCCAATCAATCTGTTACGTGATAAATCCCTGATGATAGATACACGCAACGGGTTACATCGCAGGAAAGAGACGGGTAGAGTAAGGGGGAAAGAAAGTTGGAGGAGTTCGAAAAATCCATGAGAGTTGTACAGATAATCATGATAGCTCACATATCTTCTCTAGTAGGCGTTTATGCAAGCGGAAAATGCTACACCCACATTTGAATGTGACGCGAGGTAAACAACTCCCCAATGCGTTTTGAGCACAGTTGTCTTGGGCACATTTGTATTTGTTTACCTCGTGTCACTTTCAAATAGGGGTTCAAATGGGGATTCAGAGGCAAGATTTCATAGCTCTAAAGGAATGTGTGCGCTCAAAAGTGATAGGGGCTGGTTGGATAAGTGTTTGTGCCCACAATTTACTGGTGCAGGTCTTGCTCCGCTGACAATTGAGTCGGCATTTGAACAGATTGAGCCGGCAGCTCTGGAAGGAGGAAACTATTTGACAGGGAAGACGAGCCACAAGCTCACGATGAACTTAGGGTTAAATTAATTTTGAGGGGCCGTAGCTAAATGTTTTTATCCATGGAACTAATAGACGCTATACTTGGTGGGACTGCGTTTTGCTCTTCACAGCCAGCTTGATTTCAGAGGTTCTCACTTTCATCATCCTCGCATATAAGGAAGATCAAGATCCACCCTCGCTCATGTACACTGTTGCCTGATTGTTCCGAGGCTAATGTGGAAATATTGGTACGCCAATGTGAGTGGCAGGCTGGACAGCTGACATAACGACGCTGTTGGGAGAGATCTCCTGCTCCGCCAATGTTGGTCACCGCCGTGCACCGTCTCCATCCCTAGCCCTGGAGTCAAAAGTGCACAGTGGTTCAGCCATATGGGCCAAAGTGTACCTGGATAGGGGACATTGAAATCCTCCCAGTGTCACCGGCAGTCCTCCCCTGCTCGGCTGACATCACAGCGCCGTGAAAAGGTGGGTTTGGCTGCATGTAGAACGTAGGTCTGCCAATCAGGCCGACCCTACACCTGCCTGCCATTGCTGCAGCTGCAAACTCTGTGGTAGTGGCTGCCACTGCAGCAAAGCCAGCCTTGGGGGCTATTTTCCTGGTGATGGGGACATTGTGCATAGAGGGAATGGCGCCAAAATCTCCCCACCACTTCAGTTTCAGAGAATTTCACGTTCAATCTCCTGCCCACGTTCTGAAGATTGTCCATACACCTTGTCATTTGAACATTGCAGGGCCTTGTCGCGAGGCTAATGTGCGGATGTTGGCAGTAGACCTCCGGTACCCAGGAGGTTACCGCTCGGATTTGCGACCTGGACCGGTGACACATCACGTGGGCGGGAAAGATTTCCCTCGTATCTGCTGTGCCAATGTTGATCACCACCATGCACGGTCTCCCTCCCCAACCAGGGCTAAAGTGCACAGTGCTTCAGCCATGTGGGCAAAAGTGTACCTGGTTAGCAAAGCCTGAAATCCTCCTTTTCTCAGCGTATGTCATCCCCTGTTCCGCTTGTTGATGGGAATTGGGTGATAGCCCCGCCCTCACTTGGGCGAAGCCGACATTGTGGTTGGGTGCGGTCTGCAGAGGCCGACGCGTATAGGTCGATGGGGTTGGTCGACCTGTAGAGGACCGCTGCGACAGCGCTGTCAATGGGAGCTGGCGGCCGACTTAGACGCGGTAGGACGATGAAGGTGGTCAATGACCTGCGTGGGACTGTCACGAAGCTGTCGACGGTGGGAGTTCGATGGCTGCAGCTGACCGAATTGGTCGACGGACGGACCGTCGACTAGGGTGGTTTTCGACGGGCGCACTCTGGTTGGTCGACCAGGGCTCGCGCTGGGTGGTCGACCCGGTCGACCAGGTTACCTCCTCGACGAGGTTCTGCGGGGATGCACGACCGTCGTCAAGGCTACAATGGCGAAGGCGACCTCAGGCTGGTATCCCGAGGTCGACGTGGAGCTTCTAGCGCAACTGTCGGCGCGTGGCCGACCTGGCACCTGCGCGACGGTAGAGAACGTGCTCGACCGTCGCTGCGCACCTGCGCTACTATCACCCGTGGGTGCAATGCTGGTAGATCGTCCCGCTGCAGCGTTGGCACGCCGCCATGGTGCAACATTGGCAAGCCACGGACTTGCTCTGTTGGCAGGCCGCCTCGTTGCAACGCTGGCGTGGTGCCTCTACGCAACGCTGGCAGACTGTCAACCTTGCAGGTTGTCTGCTAGGTTGCTAGGCTCTGATGTAGTCAGTCTTTCTATTGCTTGTTGATCATTCTATAATCCCAACTTTGCTAGTGGAACTCTTACCAATTCGCCTCATGAATGTGTGCTAAGAGAGAACACAAGCAAGCGCTAAGAAACGCTATGATTGCTTCTAGAAATGCATTTGCCAAATTGGGAGCTCTATTTTGAGTTCAATGACAAATATAGGTCCGAGCCAATCAATGACAAGTATAGGTCCGAGCCGTTCAATGACAAGTATAGGTCAGAGCCATTCAAAGACAAGTATAGGCCCGAGCCATTCAATGACAAGTATAGGTCCGAGCCACCCATCACAGGCTGCCCCCAAGGCTGGCCCCTGAATGAGCGGCCTTGCTCAGAACAGTGCCAGCCCATGTTCATGCCTACCATGTATGTTTATTTTTCAAAACAGATTGGCTTAGTGTCATCATCGTAGATCCTCTTATATCTGTCATGTAGGCTCTTTTTTCTGTTCCCTTGATGATACTCACAGTCTAAATAGGTTACTCAGGCTGCTGAAGGTGGATGGAATGGAGCCACTCAAGTTGTTATCGTTAAGATACCTGATGTCATGGTGCAACATGCGACGGGTGTAATAGGTGGAAAGAAACATTGAATACGACAAGAAAACTTCACCATGGTTCAAAACCAAAGAAGCAGGGCTGCATATGTGTGAATTGAAGGAAACAAATGGAGGGACGAGTGGTATCATAGAGGGAGAACGATTGTAGGAACGCGATATGCTGAAATCTGCCTCATTCGGAGCACAGCACAAACAAGCTGCTATCACCATTGACTCTGTCACACAATGCTGAAAGAAATAGCCGGTACAAGAATTGAAGCGAATGAAAACAACAGGCATTATTCTGAGCGTTACACAAGCTTGCCAACATGTACGCATACAGAAGCAACAGCTAAAGATACGAGGTGTACTATGCTAGTGGTGGTTGGGATGCATAGCAGGATAAGACATAAGCTGAAACAGCTGTGCATGCACAGTGTTTGGCATAGTGAAGTCAAGAGTATAAAGTTTTCACTGTCTACACTTGAACAGAATGATCTTTGGGAAGGGAAATCGTACGTCAGCAGCTTTGGCAACAAGTTGCAAAAGTTAATAAGAATGAGAGCCCAGGGCTAGCGCAGGATTAATGATGGTTGGATTGTAGAATTTATCTGGTTATGATGGAACTTATAGCAACTATATCTCGTGGCCCTGGATCCTTGACCTTTGTTACTGGCTTACTTAAAAATATCTTCATCTTCATTCTCCTGTTAAGAAGCACCCATGTACGTTGTTGCTTGAGCTTATCATTTCAGGACCTTGTCATGTGCGTAATACCTTGTCCCTTGCCCCTTGCCCATGTATCTTCTCGCTTGAACATTGCAGGACCTTGTTGTGAGGGTAATATCCTGTCTCTTGAACTTTGCTGGACCTTGTTGTTGGATTCAGAATCTCCATTGACATTTCCTCTTAAGACTTATCCGCCATCACTGCTGTTGGCAGTGAGTGCAGACGAGCAGACCGAAACTGCAGCAGACCGCATTCTTGTGGAGCAAACGAGGCCGCCTCCCCCGGGCTGGCCCCTGGGTCAGCGGCCTGTCTCTGCCCATTGCCAGCCCATGCTCATGCCTAGCATGTATGCTCATTTTAAAAAAACGTTGGCTCAGTGTCATCATCGTAGATCCTCTTATTTCTGCAATGTAGGCTCTCTTTTCTATTCCCTTGATGATCCTCACAACTCAGTTAGGTTGCTCAGGCTGCTGAAGGTGGACGGAATGGAGCCACTCAAATTGTTATCGTCAAGATCCCTGGTGTCATGGTGCAACATGCGAAGGGTGTAATAGGAGGAAAGAAACATTGAATACAGCAAGAGAATTTCACCATCGTTCAAGGACACATAAGCAGGGCAGAGAATTTCACCATATGTGGATGTGGTCAAACCGTTGATACCAAGCACATGCGAAGGGTGCCATAAAACTGGAACAAATAAATGAAATGAAGGAACCAAATGGAGGGAGGAGTGGTATCACAGAGGGAGAAAGGTTAAAGAAACCGCGACATGCTGAAATTTTCCTGATTATGAGCACAACACAAACAGGTTGCTAAAGTTCACCATTGACTCTGTCACACAATGGTGAAATAAACAGCCATTAGAAGAATTCTAAGCAAATGAAAAAAACTGGCACTATTCTGAGCGTTATACAAGCCTGCCAGCATGTACATATACAAAGCAACAGATAAAGATACGAGGTGTACAATTATAATGGTTGTGGGAATGTTTAGCAGGATAGGACAATAAGCTGACCCCACACCTGGCAGCTGCTACATCTACGTGAGTGGCTGCCAATGCAGCAGAGGGGGAATGGCGTTGGATCTCGAGCACCTTCAACCTCCAATGGATCTCGAGTTACATTTGTGTTGGTGCAAGTACCCCTTCCTCACGCTCAGCTTCTTGTGGGCTTAACCAGCCACGGAAATGGGCTTCCATTGTTTCTGCCGCAGATAAGCACACCTGTCGGCCCACTGCTACTTCTTTCCTTGGTCTCAGATGCACCCGTTGATCCTGGGGTGCACATTCCGCAGTCCACATTTCCTCTTAGGACTTACCCGCCATCACTGCCGTTGGCAATGATGGCAGACAAGCAGACCGAAGCTATAGCGGACCGCATACTTGTGAAGCAGACGATGTCAGGCATTTTCCTCTTGAGCTCCCACACGCTTGTGGAGCACCCACAGATTGGTCGGGTGAGGCAGCTTGCTGCTGAGGTTTCTATACGGTGCTCCTGCTGCTGTTGCATCCTACTGATGGTTGTTCAAAAGTAGATGGTGAGGCTCCTCGCAGGGGTTAAGGTACGCTACTGGTGATGGTGTCTACCTTTTATGCGTACTGATGCCCAGATAGGTACCCATGGCCGTCTAGGATGTTGCCCTGGTATATGGCTTCCATGTGCTACACACCACCTTGCGTGCGTGTTCTCTTCTCCTCACACGTACCTTAAGGCTGTGCTCATGTACACGGGATAACTTTAGGGGACTCCCGAAGCGAGAAAGCGGAGATCATTTTAGAGCACATTGACGGATCAAAGATGCAAAAGCGTGCTTGGAATTCAATGCCTTTCAGTATGCATGACCAAGGGTCAAACAGTGCCTTATTTATCAAACGGGGAGCTCAATCTTGAGCTTTATGACAAGTGCAGGTCCGAGCCGACATTTGAGTCAAGCTGAGCTAGCAATCATGCACTGTTGGCTGGCACCGAGTTATCCAGCTTGCCCGACGAGCCAAGACTCAGCTTGTCGAATCGTTAAACTTCTTCTTTCACCACCCGGCCTGAATTGACCTGGTCGAACCTGGAAAAAAATAAGCCTGATGTGTTGGGCTCATTCCCATGTAATGACAAAACCTGCTGAAGTCTGACAAGGAAACATGACTCCTGAGTCTGTGGGACACACCCTTGGATTGACACAGTTGGAGTTCATTCTTTTATGTCCAGATTACGTTAATTACAGATCCAAGATGACAATCGATTCAAGACAACTCGGCGATCCGAGTATCAACTGGCTATAATCAAGTGGATCTTGACGAGCCAAGAACCAGCCGGCTTATTGGCTCATTGAACTTGTGCTGGCAACCCTAACTAAAAAAATCCCAATCTACAAAGTGGTGCCCGTGACTCTCTTTTATAATCTGAAAGTAGATTATAGATCGTTACTACGTAGATGAGAGGCTCGAAATGCCGAACCTGTGCTCATTTGGTGGTGACATGCCACAAAATACCATAACCATGAATCTAGCTGGTCTGGTAGTGAAATTAAAGATTCACTCGAATTCAGCAGCAAAATACCACAATCACGCGGAGTCTGGCAGACGGTGATAAGGCGTACTCGCTTGTCTTGGCTTGACAGGCTTGCCTCTGATGAATGAGGGGAGCTGCTCGATCAGCTGCCCGGTCAGATGCCTAACAGGCTCAACAGACCACCAGCTCATGACAACCTGAAACAAACCGGCTTGTCTTGGACCTAATCACATGCCTATACCCGAGCCTTCCATGCTTCTTTGGGGACATCTCTGATGGTGGCAAATCCTGATTGGGACAAATTTGGATGACCGAGCTTGGCACAACTCAAATGGACGGATCTCTAGCAATGCGAGAACATTACCCAGCCCAAACCCTCCATGAAGTTGGAATGATGCAGAAGCATCAGGGCAGGCAAGGGCCAGCCAGGTGGATTATTTGTATCGAGAAGCACTTCGGGCATCGGTTCACTTCTGACTTAATGCAATGTCGCGGTTCAAGGCGGGCGTGCTCAAGACGGGCGTGCTCAATGGTTGAAGAATGAATCAGGGCCATTCAAGCCAAATGTGAAAATTCCTTGATACTGACAGTGATTTAAGGCTGCTCATGTTGCCGATGGTGGACGGGATAGACCCAATCAATCTGTTACGTGATAAATCCCTGATGATAGATACACGCAACGGGTTACATCGCAGGAAAGAGACGGGTAGAGTAAGGGGGAAAGAAAGTTGGAGGAGTTCGAAAAATCCATGAGAGTTGTACAGATAATCATGATAGCTCACATATCTTCTCTAGTAGGCGTTTATGCAAGCGGAAAATGCTACACCCACATTTGAATGTGACGCGAGGTAAACAACTCCCCAATGCGTTTTGAGCACAGTTGTCTTGGGCACATTTGTATTTGTTTACCTCGTGTCACTTTCAAATAGGGGTTCAAATGGGGATTCAGAGGCAAGATTTCATAGCTCTAAAGGAATGTGTGCGCTCAAAAGTGATAGGGGCTGGTTGGATAAGTGTTTGTGCCCACAATTTACTGGTGCAGGTCTTGCTCCGCTGACAATTGAGTCGGCATTTGAACAGATTGAGCCGGCAGCTCTGGAAGGAGGAAACTATTTGACAGGGAAGACGAGCCACAAGCTCACGATGAACTTAGGGTTAAATTAATTTTGAGGGGCCGTAGCTAAATGTTTTTATCCATGGAACTAATAGACGCTATACTTGGTGGGACTGCGTTTTGCTCTTCACAGCCAGCTTGATTTCAGAGGTTCTCACTTTCATCATCCTCGCATATAAGGAAGATCAAGATCCACCCTCGCTCATGTACACTGTTGCCTGATTGTTCCGAGGCTAATGTGGAAATATTGGTACGCCAATGTGAGTGGCAGGCTGGACAGCTGACATAACGACGCTGTTGGGAGAGATCTCCTGCTCCGCCAATGTTGGTCACCGCCGTGCACCGTCTCCATCCCTAGCCCTGGAGTCAAAAGTGCACAGTGGTTCAGCCATATGGGCCAAAGTGTACCTGGATAGGGGACATTGAAATCCTCCCAGTGTCACCGGCAGTCCTCCCCTGCTCGGCTGACATCACAGCGCCGTGAAAAGGTGGGTTTGGCTGCATGTAGAACGTAGGTCTGCCAATCAGGCCGACCCTACACCTGCCTGCCATTGCTGCAGCTGCAAACTCTGTGGTAGTGGCTGCCACTGCAGCAAAGCCAGCCTTGGGGGCTATTTTCCTGGTGATGGGGACATTGTGCATAGAGGGAATGGCGCCAAAATCTCCCCACCACTTCAGTTTCAGAGAATTTCACGTTCAATCTCCTGCCCACGTTCTGAAGATTGTCCATACACCTTGTCATTTGAACATTGCAGGGCCTTGTCGCGAGGCTAATGTGCGGATGTTGGCAGTAGACCTCCGGTACCCAGGAGGTTACCGCTCGGATTTGCGACCTGGACCGGTGACACATCACGTGGGCGGGAAAGATTTCCCTCGTATCTGCTGTGCCAATGTTGATCACCACCATGCACGGTCTCCCTCCCCAACCAGGGCTAAAGTGCACAGTGCTTCAGCCATGTGGGCAAAAGTGTACCTGGTTAGCAAATCCTGAAATCCTCCTTTTCTCAGCGTATGTCATCCCCCGTTCGGCTTGTTGACGGGAATTGGGTGATAGCCCCGCCCTCACTTGGGCGAAGCCGACATTGAGGTCGGGTGCGCGGGAGGCGTGGCTGCCGGTCTGCAGAGGCCGACGCGTATAGGTCGACGGGGTTGGTCGACCTGCAGAGGACTGCTGCGACGGCGCTGTCAATGGGAGCCGGCGGCCAACTTAGACGCGGTAGGACGACGAAGGTGGTCAATGACCTGCGTGGGACTGTCACGAAGCTGTCGACGGTGGGAGTTCGATGGCTGCAGCTGACCAAATTGGTCGACGGACGGACCGTCGACTAGGGTGGTTTTCGACGGGCGCACTCTGGGTGGTCGACCAGGGCTCGCGCTGGGTGGTCGACCCGGTCGACCAGTTTACCTCCTCGACGAGGTTCTGCGGGGACGCGCGACTGTCGTCGAGGCTGCAATGGCGAAGTCGACCTCGGGCTGGTATCCCGAGGTCGACGTGGAGCTTCTAGCGCAACTGTCGGTACGTGGCCGACCTGGCACCTGCGCGACGGTAGAGAACGTGCTCGACCGTCGCTGCGCACCTGCGAAGTCGGTGCGCACCTGCGCTACTATCACCCGCGGGTGCAATGCTGGCAGACCGTCCCGCTGCAGCGTTGGTACGCCGCCATGGTGCAGCATTGGCAAGCCACAGACTTGCTATGTTGGCAGGCCGCCTCTTTGCAACTCTAGCGTGGTGCCTCTACGCAACGCTGACAGACTGTTGACCTTGCAGGTTGTCTGGTAGGTTGCTAGACTCTGATGTAGTCAATGTTTCAATTGCTTCTTGATCATTCTGTAATCCCAACTTTGGTAGTAGAACTCTTGCCAATTCGCCTCATGAATGTGTGTTTAGAGAGAACACAAG